ATTATTACATCTAGTCCAAAATCCATTTATATGGTTCTATATGGAAAGAAATCACTACTTACCTAGGCATCCTCCCGCCCAAACTATGATCATGTCAATATGCATATTTTATCATTATGTAAATCTCATAGCAGAATTCACCATTCATCATCATAATATATGCACATGATCATCATAAAATATAGTCAACAATATAATATTTTTGGCATATTAAACTTTGATTGGAAACAAAGAAAACCCACTTGCATATATTTACTAAAACCATGATCAAGTTTATTATTAATTAGCTTTATATTAAATCATTAATAAAACATCCTAAATTAATTTTAACAAGCAATAGCATAAGTTAGAGATTCCATCAATTATTTCAAACCTTTAGAAAATTAAAGGTTACCCCTATACCAAAGGCTTCCCAATCAATATTTAAGCCCAAAACAACACACTGCAAAATTATCTACAATCCATAACAAACAATAATTACTAAATGACCAACTTGATTATGACATTTCAACTCTCAATTATCCACTTTAAAATACCAATAATTCCAACCACAAGAACAACTTAATTTCAATGAGCTTATTAGCTTCCATTAGCTTCATATAGCTGCCAACAATTTAAACAACAACAATTGTAACAACCTATAGCTCAAATTCTTCCTCAAGAGCCTATGGTTTGACTAAAGTAAAGAAATTCAAACCTTAAGCTCGACCCATTCAAAATCAAAATTCTAGGAGTAGAAACTAACACCTAATAACCTTATTAACTTCAATAATTTTTCAAACAACAACCTAAAGTCTAGAAATAGTCATAGGGTTCAGATTTAAGGAAGAACGAAGAAAACCTAACTCAAAATTTAGCCCAAAAGGAAGAGAAATGATGTAAGACTTACTATGGGTGGTTAGCTAGATTAGAAAACATCTCAAATTTTTTGTAGAACCTTGCCCTAGCAAAGCCTCCGACAATTTTTACGATTCCCCATCTCTTCTTCTCTATTTTTTTATAGATTTTAGAACTTATAACACATCTCTAGAGCTTTGTCTGGGTAAGATTGTAAGCTTACAATTCCATCCACTCGTGGATGAAGTTTAAATTGAAACTTTGCATTTTAGGGGTTCATTTGCATGTAGATGGACCACGTGCAATTTCATTCACAAGCGCATGAAGTGTTGACTCCTCAATTCCTCGTTTTGGGCCCAAGTGGCCCAACAAGCTTCTAGGTCCAATCTTAAGACAGTGGCCAACAATAATGAGGTTCGGTAGTCCCATTCTAACTGTCCCCAAACTAATAAGCTTCCATCTTAATCTTAATCACTCATAATTGATATCTTAATTTCAAGAATTAAAATTTAGGATATCACATGTTTAATGTTGGGGTTTTCATTTTTGGGATAGCCATCTATTGGGTTTGAATTTTATGGATTATTTATGGTTAAGTAACTATTATTTAAGTTATTTTGATGATGATTATTATGATGGGTGTGTTTATTTGAAACCTTAGGGTTGTTTGGATTAGATTAAGCTAATGATGGTGATAAACTATGGTTTAAAAGATTAATAATGATGATTAGAAAACCTTAAGGTTTAAGAGTATGAAGTCTAAGTAAATCAACATTTCATCACCACATATTCAAAAATTCATCCAAAAATAAATAAAAAAGTTCTCAAGCATCAAATCACCATTATAACACCTTAGAAACATTTATCTATGCTCATTAAGCATCTGCCCTTTAGAAAACATCACAAACAATTTGAATTTATTCTCATATTCAACCTCAAAGACTTAAGGTTTCATCCAAAATTGCTAAATTCAAATTCTAACTTTAAATATATGTTTTATATCATTTATTACACTCTCAACAACCTTCAAAATATAATAAATTATCATAGGTTTGAATTAATCATCCTATAAGAAAAACCCTAATCTGAAAAACTTCCCAAGTCATAAGGAAAACTATGTAGAATGGTAGCTTAGAGAACTAGAAACTCACCCCAAGTAGTTGCACGACCTAAAAAACTCCTCTAGGTCACTGGATGTTCATGCCTTAGCATAGCCAAATTAGAGCTCTATTTGATTTTCCTTCTCCCTCTGACATTCTATCAAATTTAGTAGAACAGGGATGCTTTAATAGTGCCTCGTCCGCACACGATCAAGACAAGTGCAAATGGATGACCACTAAACCAAATGGTCCTGTTGTGCATAGTTTCATGCACCTTTGCCCACTATCAAATATCTAAAGGGCCCAGGCCCTATTTGGCCCATTTACCTATTTTGAACCCTAATTAACACTTTTATATGTCTCTTGGCGCAATTTAATTCATAATTAAGTGCTTAAACATGTAGTTAACTCCAAATAACCTCAAATACAAATTTATTCCCTAATTTAAACTTCAAAACAATACCAATTCAAATTATAATTGCTCCATTAAAACCTCAATTTACCCAATTAATTCTGTATTTAAAAATCAAAATGTTATAGTACCTCCCTCATTTGATCAATGAATGGCTTGTAACTTGAATTAGCTTACCTTTGGTCGGGTAAGTTAAGCACCAAGCATGGACTATGGTACCAGTGAAAGGAGAAAATAAGGCATTAGTCATGCATTCTTTGTTTATTTTGTTTGGATATAAATTGTTCAAAAACATGTTTTGTATACCCACTTAGTAATTACATGGTTAATTGCATTGCATGTGTCATGTCATTTTAATATTGATTATTGAAACTTTTATGTCTCATTCTCTGTGATTAATATTTTTACAAGGAAGAGTCAAGCTAGAGAAGCACCTAAGGCATAGTGTGGTGTATGGGATCACCACTTTAACTTGCAGGCCTTTTAATAATTTTAATGCATATCTTGCCAACCATAGAGCTTATTTTGTATTTTGAGAATGTGACTCATAACTTTTGCTATACTTGTCCATTGTAGCCATGAGACTTGTTTTTGACTCACATGGTCTTATTTGGTGATGATTAAAGCATGATTTGGATATGAAATTGTTTTATGGCAGTTTTTATTACTTATTCAATTATAATTGTGTTGGATAGCTATAACTCAACTGTTTTGATTTTAAATGTATAAACCAATGTGTGGATTAAAAATATTGTTGGACGTATATGTGATGTGGTCAAGTAGTTCATACATTGATTTATGGTTTTGGTGTTGGTTTGGAGGAGTTAATTGTTTTGAAAATTTGTTTTATGATCCTTGAGGGATTTTTGTGGATAAAATCCTCATAAGGAGGAATTTTGTGCCAAACAAAAGTTATTAGCTAGATTTTGTAACAAGTTTTGTATAAACACTTTAATCACTAGATTTGAATGTATATACTAAAAGTTGTGCAGGTTTAAAGTTTTAAATTATAATTTATTTGATTTAGTTTTGAGATGTGCAATGCATTGCAACACATGCCTTCTTAGTTGCAGCACATAGCCCTCTTGTGAAAGGTCATTACAATGTCATTCATAGTGACATGAACTATGTTGATCGCAGCAGATGACGCATAAATTATAGAATTATCTTGTTTCGTATATTGTTTTTAGAAAAGTCCTCTTGACTCTTTTACCCTCATATAAACTTGTTTTTAAACAATTTAGCCTCTCAGGACTGATAATTTAATCCTAGGAACCATAGTGCAACATTTAATGTGTTCTATATCAATACTTTAAATTTTTAATCATTTGGTATACATTTAATTAATTTAATTTCTTCTTAAATTATCATGATAAATTTATTTTATTATGCTTAATCTTTTGACCTTAGTAACTCCTTTTCTTTTTTACCATGATAACATTTTAAAATAATATCTTTTGATCTTTCTACCATATTAAACATTTTATTATCATTTGTAAAATATCTTTTGCTTTTATTTATAAGACGTCTCATTTAAAATGAAAAGTTGCATGATTTATTTATTAAAAATATTTTCAACAAAATTCATTAATAATTAATAATATATTGAAAAAATTAAAAATACCTAATGGAGTAAACATTGTTAAGACTACATTAGAATTAGCGGACTTCGTGAGACTTTGTCAGTATTTCAACGTTTTCTGCGGACCCTGCTTGTTATTTCTCCCCGAGAAAAAGGCAAGCGTTTGCGGACGCTTTAAAGTAGTGCCGTGTTGATTGTGATTGGCCGGCTACAGATGACGTTAACGTGGAAGTGAGCATGCGGGGCATCTTATCCCTCAAACTTTACAAAAAGGCCAGCAAAATGTTCGCTGCGGAAGGTGGGATCAACTTGTGTTGTCCCCACTCTCAGAGATCCGTGAACAGCATCATCGGACCCCACTCGTTATTCTTAAAACACACCAAATCCAATTCACACCTTTTTTACCTCCTCTTTTTGTGAACATGAAATTGAAATAAAAATGTGATGAAAATATAAGGATTCGGGAAAAAATGGGGAGAACGAAGGATTGTGGAAAAATTGCAGAGTCCGTCTCTCCATGTGCAATTATGCATACTTCATCACCACAGTCCAGATTTGATTTTGGATGTCCCTGACGTCTTCAATCAGACCATGCAGAAGATGGTGACAATTGCCACCCCTCTTAGTACGCCACAAGTGTTGTACATATAGGGTGTTTGTTTTCTGTTTTTAAAAGTTATTTTTTATTTTTAAAAATTTGTTTGAATAAATATTTTTCTTTTAACTATTTTCAAAACTGTTTTCATTTTTTGCTTTTTAGAACAAGAAAGTAAAAACAACTTTAAGTTGTTTTCATTTTATTTTTCTTGTTTTTAAAATACAATACATTTAATTATTAAAAATTATAGTTACCTTAATTAATTTTTATTATTAATCATAACTATTAAATAAATATAATCATCACTATTAGTCTATTTTTTTAACTTTAAAACTGTTTTTTAACTGGCATAACCAAACAGATTTTCATTTCTTTTGTTTTAAAAACAACTTCAAACACTGTATTATAAAACAGTTTTTAAAAATAAAAAATAATAACAGAAACCAAATAGCCTTTACAGTCCAACAAATATTTAGTATATATAGCCTCCGCAGATATTCAACCATGCTAGTCAAGATTTTAATCTACATAATACACGCACCCACGCACAAACTTATATGGATCGGGCATCCATTACAGAGTGAACATAAATTATAGTGGAACATACACCCCTCCCAAAAGAGTCTGAAACATAAAATTTACCTTGAGCTTGCTGGATAAATCATGATTTTATTCTGATGTTCCAAACCAAACAAGCTGGCTTCATGTAATAAAAGGGAAGGTGTAACTCGACTTTCCTGGTAGCTAGCACTTCTTGACCCCAGATATTGATATTCCATTGTTATATGGGAAAACTGTCGAGAAATGCGTGTGAAAGGATGTTGTTCATTCCACAGAATTGATTAGTCTCCACTTCACAAAAGGCACCCCAGACACAACCTTTCTGGCATATTCCCGATACTGCGCTCCAAAAAACTGTCGCAAATAGTATTCTTCATATGGTATCCGCTTAGCAAAGAAATTCCAAACAACAATTGCAAATGCAATAGTAGACAAAGGATTGCAGAGCATTATTTGAATGCCAATTGACCAAATAAGGAAACCACAGTATCCTGGATGACGAATAAATTTATATATACCGTGGGTAATCAATTGATGATGTTCATCATGACGAATCCTTATAAGATGGGTAAAGGCTTGTCCTGCCGTTATTATTGCTATCTTCCTGATCAATTCTCCAATCAAAACCATAGCTAGGCCCAGATTACTAACTATCCATTGCTCTTTCAGTTCAGGTATTAAAACAATCTCAATAAAGTATTCCAAGAACGAGAATATCATTGCCAGAATATAGGTTTTGCTAATCAGAAGAGATTTAAGAGTGACATTTGATCTCCCGTGAATGGCTATAGGTAGGACATATTCAGAGCAGTGTAAGAAGAAAACTGCAACTAACATCTGCGAAAGCTGTCTGAAAGCTGTGTAGCTAAGGACTTCTGTCATTTTTGCCGAACAAAGAAACTCAGTTCTCTGAATTCTCTCATGCCAATACGTGATCAAACTCAATTGATTTACAATGACACAAATGATTTGGATAACAAAACTATATAGGGTGTAAGTTTGACCTGAAAATAACGCAAAGCAATGTGAAATTAGCATTGGAAATCGTGTTTCTTTGTCAAAGAAATGCTTCAAGAAAGACATCTGCACGATAAACAAGAGAAAAAGCAATATGACATGGCTTAGGTCTCAAGCAAAGAAGAGAGCAACAAAAATAAAAACTCGAGGACTCTCAGCTTAAGGCTGAAAAACACCAGTCCTGACTCCTGAGCAATAAAAGAAACACATGCTGAAATGCGTTTTAAGTTGATGGAGGGCATTTTGAAACCAAACATACACTAACCAGCTAGATAAGTCACCTTCCAAACTAAAGTAGATTTACAATAAGTTGCGCTTTCATTTTCTGTTAGAGGTCTCTGGTATAATAGTGGTTAAAGGTAGTTTGATCCAGTATTGGAATCCTCGACTAGGCTAATTAGAAATTTTGATTCCAAAGACAACTAAAAATAGTAACTACAATCTTGCTAATCTGCAATGCATCTAGCACACCAAGTGACAGCTAAAATCTCCAGGTTTGAATTAGCCTAAGGCTGTTAAAAACAGGTTCACTGCTTTGTAGGACAGGAGTTACAAACCTAAGAATTATATTTCGGTAGATGCATTTAGCAACCTCCACATAAGAATCACATATTTGGGAAATGGGAATGCTAGTCACCATACTTGGAAGTTAGCAATCTCCACATACAGTGCACTTTCACCAAAAAAATTTCTTTCACTTAAAGACAAAATAAATTAAGGTGTATTTAAGTTATTTCTTAATGAAGCTTGCAGCCATCATTAATTCATGGGCATTTATGTCACTTCTTCACAGCACAAAAAATGCAAGCCTCACTAATGATGCGGCCTAAGCCCCAGGCATGGCGCACATAAGAAGGCATAAATTACTTAAAGCATAAACTCCCAAAGCAACATCCAAAAGATACCATCCAGTCTTGGATATCCATTGGAAAGTATCTCTCACTTCTAAAGACATTACAAACTCACAAGTTTAAATTAATAATTAAAGCATGTCACACACAAACACACATAAATGTGTATTTTTCTTTGAAACTTTAACTAAATCTGAATCATACCGTTCTATATTTTTAAATGTATATGATTAATATTAGACTATTAGTGTTTTTTAAAAATTTTAACTTCAACTAAAGTCCAACCCAAACCTAAAATACTTTAATAGAATTCCTAATCTTTCCTTTCTCAATGCTGTTATCAGAGTCAAATGCATATACTTGTATTACTTCAAGAATGATCTTTTAGATAACTTCAACTAAAGGCCTTGAGTCTTGAGAAAGCAAAAGCTGTTAGCATGAGTGTGATAGATGGCAGCGGTTTTTGTCTACATATCCATTGACAAAGGTGCAATGTCATTAGTTTATAGAAAATGATCTGATTAATGGCTTGGTGAGATCTACAGTTGACGATAATTCTAGTTTAGCAAACTTACCTCTTCCATTACCTTCAGAGTTGCAATCAGTTTTGACTACTTGGCCTAACACTGCTGCAATGCATTGGAGGTGTTGGTGAAATGCCTATGGGCTTGGCCCATAAGGCCATTTATTGGTAATTTAGCAATTAGGGTTTAATTATGCTGATTGTATTTTTTTTATCGTTATTTTTCTGATATTTAGAACATTTAGTAGGATATTTCCATATTCTAGTAGATTAAATTCAGATTTTATGATTGTAACCCTAAACTCTATATATGTACCTCAAGCATGCATTGAATAAAACAATCCGAGGCATTATTTCTTAATTTAGCTTCATACTAGATAGGGCAACTATAGAAGTAATTTATCTACTAATAGAATTAATGACAAAGTATCAATGCAAATGTAAGGATTTACATATGATTTTCATTAATTTTGAAAAAAATTATAGTTGTGTATCAAGAGAAGTACTTTAAAAAGTATTGAAAAAAAAAGGTTCCAGGTTGCCTATATTCGAGCTATACAAGAAATGTATGAGGAGAGAACAACTAGTATAAAGACGTTTGGTGGTGAAACAAAAGACTTTCCTATAAAGATTGAATTACAACAGAGATCATCTTTGAGTCTTTATTTGTTTGATTTAGTTTTAAATGTTTTAATTGAGCATATTTAAAAGGAAATCCCTAAATGCATGCTTTTCGTGGATGATATAGTTCTTATTGTGAAGACAAGAGAAGAGATTAACTGTAAACTTGAATTAAAAAAGACAATGGAGTCAAAAGCTTTTTGCCTGAGTAGGAGTAAGACACAATATCTATATTCTAATTTTGATAAAATGTCAATGAATGTTAATTTAAAAGTGAAATTGGGTGATCAGATTATACCTCAAGTGAAAAAGTTTAGACATTTGGAAGTGATTATTGAACATAATAGGGAAATTGATGAAAATATGGTACATAGGATACAAGTTGGGTGATTTAACTAGAAAAAGACCAAAGGAGTTATTTGTGATCGTAAGGTATCTAATAAATTTAAATGGAAGTTTTATTAAACTGCTCTAAGACTAGCAATATTATATGGTAGTGAATGTTAGACTTTAACAGAATAGCAAGAGCATAAAGTTGGAGAAGCAGAGATGAGAATGTTAAGATAGATATGCGGATAGACATGTAAATACAAAATCCAAAATGAGCCCATACAGGAAAAAGTAGACGTCACACCTATTGAAGGAAAAAAATGGTAAAAAATTATTTGAGGTGGTTTAGATATATACAAAGACCATAAAAGGTACTTGTGAGGAAAGTGGAACAGATAAATTTGAACCCTGTCAAGAGGGGTAGATGAAAGCCAAAGATAGCGATTTTGAAAGTTGTTGATCGATACCTCTTGATTAACAATATTTCTAAAAGCTTAATAAATGATAGAGCACAATTGCATCGTATAATCTGTGTAGCTAATCCCATCTAATAGGATAAAGCTTGTTGTTGTCATTGTATTGTTTCTTAGAATATTTCATAGTATCAAAGACAAGTGGAGAGCTACAATTGATGAAGAAATGGAAGCCTTAAAAAGGAACCAAACATGGGAGGCCACTGAATTGGTAAAAGGTAAGAGAATTTTTTGTTGTAGATGGGTTTTGACTAGCAAATATAATCATGATGGCAGTTTGAACAAACATAAAGCACAATTGGTGGTAAGGGGATTTACACAAACCTATGGAATTGACTATGAAGAGACCTTTGCACCTGTGAAAAAGTTTAACACTGTCAAGGCATTGCTCTCACAAGCTGCAAATCTTGATTAATGGATATGAATAATGCTTTAATGAATGGAAAATTAGAAGAAGTCTATACTGAAATTTCTCCAAAATTCAAGAACAAGAAAAACAAGAATAAGGTGTGCAGATTACAAAAATCACTTTATGGCCTCAAACAATCACCTCGCGTATGGTTTAAGTGATTCTCCAAGGCAGTAGATATTCTTAATGTCAATCTAACCACTCTGTTCATAAGTCATAACGATGGGAAGAAGGCTATTTTAATAGTCTACATGATATCACTAGATATAATCTCAATGAGATTGAGTGCTTGAAAAAATTACTTGTTACTGAATTTGAAGTCAAGGATCTTGGATCCTTAAGATACTTCCTCGGTTTGGAGGTTGCAAGATCAAAGAGTGGTATTGTTGTATCACAACATAAATATACTTTTGACCTTCTTCAGGAAACAAGAATGCTAGATTGTCATCCTACTACCACACCTATTGAATTGAATCTCAAGTTTAGAGTAGGATATTACTGTCCTCTTGTAGACAAACAAAGATATCAACATCTGGTTAGGAAATTAATTTACTTATCCTATACCAAACCTGGCATAACATTTCCTGTCAGTGTGGCAAGCCAATTTTCTAGTAAGCCTAACAAAGATCACATGTGTGCTGGCTTTAGAATCCTATGATACCTGAAGTCTACACCAAGACAAGGATTATACTTTAAAAAGGGGACTCAAAGGCATTGAAGTGTATTCAGATGCAGATTGGACAAGTTCTAAAATTGATAGAAGATACACTACAGGATATTGCACTTTCATATAGGGTAACTTGGTAACTCGGTAACTCGGAGGAGTAACAAACAAGCTATAGTTTCAAGTAGTGCTGAAGCTGAGCTTAAAGCACTGGCACATGGCGCTTGTGAAGGTCTGAGGATTGACAATTATTCAAAGTATTGGAATATTTATTTATTTATTTATGGATTAACATTAATTAATAAGCCTAAGCAGATTGGTCTTTATAATCTTGTGTAGACCGTGATAGGTGGACTACATAAGTGAGCCCAATGGGTAGAGGCCCAACCCACAACCCAGCAGCTATCAGTTATTTTCTATCTCTTAACTTATTGAGTCAGAGATAATAGATAATATAATTATTTAATTATTTAATAAGGTAGTTATAGATCTGATCAATATAAGTCGATCAATCAATAACCGTAAATACACGACTCATTTTCTTTTTCTCTATTATCTCTGAACTCTCTGAAGGCTTTGGGGACTTGTGGGTTGTGTACCTTTCTACACTCGAGATAATCAAGATTTCTCAAGCGCTCATGAATTCTTCAGGTATGTATACATTCTTTACTTTTTCATATAAATTGAGATAGATATACAAACTCTAACACGTGGCATCAGAGCTTGGTTATAAATATCAATCTGTATGTCTCAATTCCTTATTTATTTTATGCGTACGTTATGAATTAATAAAATTCATTTATGAGCATGTTCAGATTTTATTAATGTGCTTAATAATTTTTCCTTCCATTATGGTCATTAAAAATAAGTATGAGATTTACTGTACTGCTGTGCGACTCTCTGCCTTCTCTTTCCCTTCATTTTTTTAATCAACGTCAGAGCGGGACGAAAAAGTTCGGTGCTTTTGCCATCAGGTCGCTAGAAACAAAATTGCGATAACCTAATAGAGCTGTGACAGCTGGAGAGCAAAAGAATGGAAG